GGGAAGCTTTGGTGCAACTCGAAATCTCTGCTGTGGGGTAAGTGGATGAATCTTTATAGATGTGTGCAATTGTAACATATATGGCAGTCCTTTACTCTTTCTTACAGAGCAATTTAGGTATTATTGAGCTAAATCCTGTTATTAAAAGTTCAGAAAAAAGAACATTTTTAGTACATTTTTCTATGTATACGTGGATCGTCGTTTACTTTGTTGTTTTATTAATTTGATGGATGCTGGGTGGCCGAGTAGTTTAAACTGGAGTTCAATCCCCGCCAAAGCCCATTCAACAAAATTCATCACCAGCACCCAGACGAATGGCAACTCATCTAAGAGAAGGAAACTATGATTTCAAGATTGTGTGGATTGCGTCCTGCTAGGCCACACCATCGCAAAAAAAAAAAAAAAAAATTGAAAAATATATAATTTTTTAAAGTAAAATCATACCGCAATAATTGGGTCATTCAATACTTGAGGATCGACTAGTCCAGAGAGTACAGCTGACGTTAGTCCGTAGATTGTGTCGGCTCCTACTGCGACGTCAACGTTGTTTACCTTTAAAAGTGTCGTAAATATCCGGTTGACGTCACTTTGTAACTCTTCTATGGTTTGCATCTTGGACAGAATAGAAAGGATAAATTTAATATCGACATGTTGTGTAGTCATTGAAGTAGATCAAAGACTCATGTAACTTCGACATGATATGTGATCATGGAAGGAGGTAAGATATTCCTGTAGCTTCGACATGGTGTATTATCATGGAATTGGGTCATACAAAAATAACTGGGAAATTTTGTACACAAATAAAAGCGGTAATATGTAGAAAAATAATTGGATAGTAGGTACCAAAATAACTCTATTGGTAGGTACCAAAATAACTCTATTGGTAGTTACCAAAATAACTCTATTGGTAGGTACCAAAATAACTCTATTGGTAGGTACCAAAATAACTCTATTGGTAGGTACCAAAATAACTCTATTGGTAGGTACCAAAATAACTCTATTGGTAGTACCAAAATAACTCTATTGGTAGGTACCAAAATATTTCTATTGGTAGGTACCAAAATAACTCTATTGGTAGGTACCAAAATAACTCTATTGGTAGGTACCAAAATAACTCTATTGGTAGGTACCAAAATAACTCTATTGGTAGGTACCAAAATAGCTTAAGTAGCTGGTACAATATATGTAGTAGTTGGTACATAAATAACTGGGTAGTGGGTACAAAAATAACTGCTGTAAGTGGTACACAAATAACTGTAGTAGTGGTAAAAAATTAACTGCATTATTGGGTACAAAAATAATTGTAGTAGTGGGTACAAAAATAACTGTCGTAGTAGGTACACAAATAACAGTAGCATTGGGTACAAAAATAACTGTAGTAATGGGTACAAAAATAACATTAGTAGTGGGGACAAAAATAACTGTAGTAATGGGTACAAAAATAACATTAGTAGTGGGGACAAAAATAACTGTAGTACTGGTTACAACACTAACTTTTGTAGTTGGTACTAAAATAACTGTAGTAGTAGGTACAAAAATAACTATAATAGAGAATACAAAAAAAAAAAAAAAAAAAAAAAAAAAAAAAAAATAAAAAAAAAAGAAGAAAAAAGAAAAAAAAAAAAAAAGAAAAAGAAAGAAAAAAAAAAAAAAACTGTAGTAGTAGGTAAAAAAAAAAAACTGTAGTAGTAGGTACAAAAAAAAACTGTAGTAGTAGGTACAAAAAAAAAACTGTAGTAGTAGGTACAAAAAAAAAACCAACAGCGAAGCTAATAAAGGCCCAGACAAAAATAATGAAAAAACAAGTCACGGAATGAAAGTCAAAATAATTGCTCAGTATTTTTTTATAAAATCTTACGTCATGGTTTGTATGCGTTCGATAATTTATTAACCATAATTGTATTTGTAATTCCTTATAATTTTGTATTTATTGTTGGCCGAATAACAGTAGCGACGGATCATTAAGCTCTTGTTTCGAGTCTCAGTTGTGGTTAAATAAATGTGTGTTATTTGTGTAATTGAAGCATTTTATTATGTACACAATTCAATGATTTACTCAAAAATGATTTACGTTGGTATGCATGCAGACAATTAACATTAATGTTGAAGTAAAGGGAAGAGACTGCCATCAGTTGAAAAAAGGGGAAATGAGCGAAACCCCGTATGGGAAAACCTGAAAGAAAAAAAAAACTAACAAAACAACTTACGTGTCGGCCACAAGCCTTCGCCATCTAAAAAAAAAACCCCAGTAAAAACATAATTTTTTTTTAAAATACACCTATCTGTAATGTTTTATCCGAAAGGACAGCAGGAGGAAATCTGACAGAACATAAGCAGGTTAGAGATTAATTACAGGCAAAACGAGACAGAAGAGAGGGAAAATAAATCCACTGCCATAGTCGTAATGGGGGGGGGGGATAGAGAAAAGGTTGAACAGGTGAATGAGAAAATGACATTAATTTCATGTGGTGTCAAGGTTCCATAACCCTAGATCAGCTTGTTTTCCAAATTCACCCAGTTTGGTGTGTTTGTACAGAACACGACGGCGGTGATAGTAAAATCA